GCAAATCACAACTAAAAATAGCCTTCATTACACTCTTCTTTATTTCCAGATGTTAACCACAACAAACCTACAGTTCGGATTGATTACTCATCTCGCTTTTTCCGATCAGCAAATTTATAGTGTCCCTAAGGATAATGGTAAGGAGAAGTAGTCGTGCCTAGCCTATCACTGATTCTTCTATTTATCTATCTTTTTAAAAGGATGCATTGTGATTCAATGAGATGTAAATAAGAGGCCCTGTATTTTGTATTTTAGCTTCATCCATTTTTTTCAACAATCACAGTTCGCAAAATTTTTTCGCTCCAAGATTTTCCCAACATTCTCAGATAAGCTTTCAAGACGTAAAAAAATTCAATTTCTGTCCACAATTTCCAGCTCGACTCTCCTGAAATCGTCCAAAACAAACTGGCGCATAGAAATGTAGAGCAGAGTAGAGTAGGAAAAATATCTCAGCTGAATACCGGGTATCTGCTTTCTGGCAGCAGTCTCATAAAGATTATTTCTAACTCACACAAAGATATTTTTATGGAAAACTCCACATTTACGTTTCTGCGTTAGCAGGCAGCAACCTCTTTTAGCAACGCTACTGGGGTTCTAATGCTTGACCGTAAATTGCAGCTGTATGGCTATAATATCTATCGTAAAGATAGGTGTAGAAGGCGCGGTGGTGGTGTTTTATTTGCTGTCAAATCTCACCTCACTTGTTTTCGAAGGAACGACCTTGAGACAAATATGGAAATGTTGGCTTGTCTTATTTACACAAGACCCGCTTTCTGCTTCTTGTTCTCGGTATTTTATCGTCCACCTGGGAACAATTTGGACTTTTCGGCAAACTTTGGGGCCTTTCTGAACAGTTATTCATCTACAAATATTTCTAATCTGATTGTTGTGGGAGATTTTAATTTTCCTTTTATAGACTGGCGTACCGGTACACCCGGTTATGTCTCCGGACCCAGATAGAGCGGACTTTTGTTGTTTGATTCAAGATTACTTTTTTCTTCAAGTTAACTCTAATATTACTCGCCATTCAGCCAACTCAACCGACTGGAAAAATTCTTGATTTGGTTCTCACGAATGATGAACATCTTGTTTCTGATGTCTCTGTCCATCCAGATAGTTTTAATTCAGATCATCTTCCCGTATCTTTTGTTTACTAATGCAAATTTTCAACGTCAAAAGAATGTGAATAGGGAAGTCTGTTGTTACAAGAAAGCTTACTTTGATGGTCTCAAGAGTATACTGAAACACTATCCCCTGGGACTCTGTGGTTTTACCCAGTTACTTAAATGACAGTAGCTGTGGTTACACTAGACCTTCTGCCCACGGGAAAGTGAGACTTTACCCATGGGAAGTCTGTGCTTTGTGTGTGACCTCTATTCCCACAGTGAAACTGCCCATGGGAAATCGCTATGGATACATCAAAAGGAACAAAATAATTACCCATGACGTTTCCCGAACCAAGTCGTAGGGTTTAGCAGTGGTTTATCTAACCACAAGAGTAGTTCAACCAGTCGGATGGAAGAAAATAGTAAATCCGGAAAGCGCAGCACATGCTGGGCACTTTTGTGGTGTTACGCTGAAATCGCGGCAAACATCCTCGCAAGTACCAAATTCAAGACACGCGGCATCAAGTATGGCCCGTTGCAGAATGAAGGTTGTCCCTCCTTTTGGCCTCTTGAAGATCATATGAAAATAGATGGTAGTCGGCCTATTAACGATGACGTTTATGGATGCTAGCAACATTAAAGCTTTCCGTTGGAAGTGGTCAGCAGTGTAATGTTAATTTCAAGATGGCGGTCAATTCGTGTACTACATCGAACTGCGACAATCGGAGAGCTGACAAGCTCAAAATATATCAGGATATGTAGATCTAAACGATTCACCATGTTCAAAAGTTGACCTCGGGTAATTATTTTCGATGTAACCGGAGGATTACACCTGACCGGAAACCCAAACCCATCCCAACCCAAGGTTATTACCCACTGGGTTACCTTGGGAAGGAGGTGAGTGTAACCACAGCTAGTGTGATTAAATTCCAGGACCTGCTGACAGGCATGTTCCTCGAATAACACTTAGAGGTCGTTCAAGGCCACCTTGGATAACTGCTGAAATTATGAAGTTGGTCAGAAAAAAAAAAAAAAAAACGCTGTGGAACAGAATGAAGTCTACTCCTTCTACAGATCTTTTCATCCGCTTTAAGTAACTGAGGAAACAAACCAAGAAATGTATTGCCACAAGTTATCATCAGTATTTCCAATCATTATCAGAGAAATTGAAAGTAGATCCTAAGAAGTTTTGGTCCTTCCATGCCATTAAATCAAAAACAAAGAGGCTGCTTGCAGTTGTCACCTATAAAGATAGATCCGCATCAGAATCTGTCGACAAGGCTGCGCTGTTCAATGAATTTTTTAGTACTGTGTATAGTTCAGATAGCGTAAACTGTGAAGATCTCCAAGTAGATGTTTTGCACCCAGGTCTTCTTTTAGAAATTTCCACCACTCAGAGTGAGGTTGAAGACATTTTAGTTAATCTGGACAAGGCAACTGGTGTCGATGGCATCCCTGCAAGAATTTTGAAATCATGTGCCCGGGAGTTATCGATGACCCTGACCACAGATTCGAGTCTCACCCACCACGGAAAATAATCAAACAAAATACATTTCCTGATAAACGGCCTTCGCCTCCGTCGATTTTAGTCCCCATGACTTGGAAAAGAGCCAATGTTACACCAGTTTTTAAAGACAATGCCAAGGAGAATGTTGAGAACTATTGATCCATCTCCCTACTATCGATCTTAGGAAAATGTCAGGAAAGAATTGTCCATCGTGCCATCTACTCTCATGTCACACCTTTTCTTACTGATTGGCAGCATGGCTTTGTGAAAGGACGTTCCTGTTTAACCCAGCTGGTCCTCATTAACCATATGTGGAGCAAAGCGCAGGATGATTGTCTCCAGGTTGATGCTGTGTTTTTGGACTTCGCTAAGGCGTTCGATCGCGTGAACCATAAGATTCTACTGCATAAACTGTGTAACTTTGGAATAGTAGGGTCACTACTAGCCTGGTGTGGTGATTATTTATCGTGTCGTAAGCAGAGAGTTGTTGTGGATGGCAAAAGTTCTAGCTGGCTGAATATCACATCTGGCGTGCCGCAGGGGTCCATTTTGGGCCCCTTGTTTTTTGTTATTTTCATCAGTGATTTGTCTGAGGTAGTCCAAGAAGGCTCTGTGGCACTTTATGCAGATGACTGCAAGGCGTGTAGGGTGGTAACTTGTCCAAATGACCTAATGATGTTTCGAGACGATCTAGATAGTCTGCGCTTGGAGTCAACGGAACAGGATGACCTTCAATGTTAAGAAATGCAAGATGATGCGCGTTACCCGGAAGAAACAACCATTCAGATCTAGCTTCACCCTAAACGGATCGGACATAGAGGAAGTTTATGAGTTTCGCGACCTAGGTTTGCCTATGAGCCATCATCTTTCCTGAAACTCTCATGTTGATGCTATTACAAATAAAGCTAATAGAATCTTGGGTCTGCTAAGAAGAACCTGTAGAGGTTGGAAGGACACCGAAACCCTGAAGATGCTGTACTGCACGTTGGTTAGATAGCAAGGGGAATATGGAACAATTGTGTGGTCACCACATACCAAGAGAAACTTTGAAAAGTATGAGCGCATACAGCGGAGGGGAACAAAATTTATTCTAGGAAAAAGGAATTTTACTTATGACGAGCGCCTGAAATGTCTCAATTTGCTTTCACTTGAAATGAGAGGTTACCTTTTTGATGTTACATTTTTGTACAAGGCTTTAAATGGATACTTAAATGTCCGCTTTTGAATTTTGATTCTCGGGACGATCCGTTCAGATTTAGACATGTTGATGACTATTCCTTGAAGATGAATTTTGTGAGAACGACTAATTTTAAATCCAATTATTTTAATAGAATTGTTGAAATGTGGAATTCGATACCCTTAGATATTAGATTATCTCCTAGTCTTGCAGTTTTTAAGTCTAGAGTAAGGAGGTTTTTGAGTAAGGAACATTGACGTTTTTAATGTTTTTATTTTTTATCTAAAATTTTTCTGTCCGTCATTATGTTTGACTTATTTAGATTAGCTAAACGGTGATCTGTCTTGCATGGACTGTTCCACTCTTTTACAGGTTATCCTTATGGCTTTGTTTGTTTGTACATTTAGATTTATTTATTTGTCATCATTGCCATTAAATTGTAATAAATAAATGCATAGGCTCTTGGCGTATAAAACGAAGTTCATGCTCGGTAAACGGCCGTGACGGCTACCGGAAATGCTTCCACAATATTCATGCCCAGGGGCAATCTCGCGTTAATATTTGTATGCGTTCGGTAACGTTGTTACCTGTCACTAATTAGTGGACGGAGTAAAAGGGCAAAATGTCATAAGTGAGTGTAGTGATTTATATAATTAATCATTAGCCATCGTACTCCGGAAATAAAAATTAAAAACACTTTCGCACAGAGCTGAACCTTGCACGGAGGCGAGTAACTCTCACAACCAAAGTGACGGGTTCACATGGTTAATAAACAATCAAAAGAAAATATTTATAGCGTAACAATATATTCAAATTTTGTACGTTGCCTCCTGCTGCCTTCTCCTCGTGTTTCGCCGGTTCAAAAATTGCTCTGCCTTGTAAACTGAAGCAAATTGTCCCTGTTTCTAAAGCCACGACCCGCTATCATGTCTCTCACCGAGGAAAATTGGCAAACAACACGACCTACAATCAAAGAAAGAGCCAAGTTTGTTTTCAACAACGATCGTTTCAGCGATGTGAAGTTCGTTGTTCGGAAGATGGATGGTGAAAGCGAAAAAAAACAAGTGATTCCCGCTCACAAATTGGTGCTATCGATCAGCAGTCCTGTGTTCGAGGCCATGTTCTACGGCGAGTTGCCGGAGACTAGAGACTCTATTGAACTGCCTGATTGTGACTACGAGAGTCTGTTGGAGTTGTTCCGTTACATGTACAGCGATGAAGTGTGTTTGAATGGTAGCAATGTTATGAGAGTATTGTATTTAGCGAAGAAATACATGATGCCTTCACTGGCTGAGAGGTGCTCAGAATATCTTCAAGAAAACTTGGATCCATCCAATGTTTTTAGTATCCTTCCAGCCGCACAGAAATATCAAGAGAAAGACCTGACGCAACGATGCTGGAAAGTGATCGCCGAAAAGACGAGGGAAGCTTTGAAAACGGATGATTTTGCGACACTTCAGAGGTCCTTACTTAACGAAGTAATCATAAGAGACAAACTGACGATTGAAGAGATAGATCTGTTTAAAGCTGTTGACTTGTGGGCCACAGAGGAATGTGTGAGGCAAGGTTTAGAGGCAAATGGTGACACAAAAAGAACAATTCTTGGAGAAGAAATTGTCAAAGCCATCCGCTTCCCAACAATGAAAGTTGAAGACTTTTCAAGTGCGGTGCTGGACAGTGACATTTTAACAAAACAAGAAATTATCAGTATCATCAAGTATCTTAATTCAATCACCAAGTCTGTAGAAGGTTTTTCGACCGTGAAGAGGTTTGGTGAAATCAAACGTAGCTGCAGACTGGGCTTAAAATCAGACAACCCCTGGAGTTATCCTACTCGAAGAGATTGTATCAACGTCTCTGTGGACAGGGATGTGTCGTTACACGCGATAAGCTTCTTTGGAAAGGAAAATCACACTTACCCGGTTACCTTAGAGCTGATAGATAATACAAGCAATTTAGTTATGACCTCAAAAACAGCATCATTTCCCACAGAGTTGTTGCAGTGCGAGAAATGCAGCTACTATGGTTTTGAGGTTTATTTCGACAAGCAAATTACTATAAAGAAAAACACCTCCTATGCTATAAGTGCTTTGATATCAGGTCCACCTTCGTGCCAAGGAATTGGTTGTGTTGGTTCAATTCAATGCGCAGGTGTAACATTCACATTTACGAACAATGAATCCTCAACAAACGGAACAAGCGCAATGTGCGGTCAATTTCCAGAATTCTTGTTTTCTTTAATTTGAAATAATAGTAATTTAGTTATACTTTATGAGACTGGTTGCGGTGACTAAGGCATAAAATGGATAGTAAGCAAACTTGTTCCCAGGGTCTCTCATCTTCCCGCCCCCTGGAGCTCTGGGGGCCGGGAAGATGAGAGACCTTGGGAACGAGGTTGGATAGCGAAGATGCAGCCTTTAACATTCACCTCCCTTATCACTCCGTGTGCTTCGTCTTGGTAAATATTTAAACTGCCGTAGGGAAGAAAAAGTTAACCTTATTCATTCTGAGTAGATGTCGCGCGGAGAAAAGGATTTTAATCACACAGAAATTTGGTAGAAAGTAACGGATTCTGTATGATGGTTTGTAGAGATTTTTGACCCAAGGAGGATACTCATCGAACGACACTTCTGCAAGTAAGCCACACTGTAGGAGTTTATCAAATGCGCGAAATAAACTAGCTAAGCATTGCAAGGGCACTCTATTTCAGCCGACTCTAAGCAATGGAACTTTCTAGAATGGGTAGCTTGGGACAGTTGGGCACGGAATATACACTGAAGGTAGCGATATATTGATATATTGCACTCTATGGTCATCAAAGTTCAAGTGTCACATTCACATCTGCGAAGATCACTGGCGACACAATGAGACAAATTTTGGACAAGAGAAACTTCGGAAATGTAGTACTTCCTCTTTGTTGAATAGACAATTCATCGAATTTAAAGGGAAAGTTTCTGCCAAATAATTGGACTTAGAATTCACAGTTTTCTGAAAGTGTTCTTTAGCGATAGGAACCTTTGCTCACCGTCTAACCATACCGGGTTTTCAGAAATCATAAAATTGATTTAATTCCTTTTACACTACTAATAACACAGATAAAAGAATATACGGACTTCCGAGGTCATACCTTGCTTAGGAGATACATGATGAGATGTAGTTTAGCAATTTTTGATCTTGTCAAAGCGGCTTGTTACATGTAATGTTCAAACGGAAAATCTGAAGAAAAATCCATGGTTCCCGAAATCTTTAACAAATAAATCGCCGTCTTCAAAATTTTCAACCTACATAGTACTCTTAGATTTTTTAACAACTTTTCTATACGTAACTAAATCCAAATTCTGTCTGCAATTTCCGGGTCAAATGTCTTGAAACGATCTTAACCCAAACTAGCAAACAAAAGCGATCCGAGCATCGAACCATAATCTGCTTTGTTGGGACAGTCAGTTAGAGAAAAATTATAGCTGAGGTTAAAAAATACTCAACGAGGTCTCTTCCATGACAAATTTGTTACAAGGTCCAATGCTTGACTTTTAACCTCAATACAATTACAGTTCTTTTGTATAGAAGGAACGTAAATGTTAAATCCTCTATGAGTTCACAATTCCTAACATGTGGCCGGAGATTGGTTTGAAAATATGTCATGCCCAGAGGCAGTCTTCAGTCGTAATTCATGCTTACATGATCTTTGAAACTGCGAATTGGTTTTCCGACTTAACCCTGTGCAAAATAAAAGAGCAAAACCATAGAATTATTTTGTATTCATTCAGTTCTAAAGAATCCACAAGGAAACCCGGAAACTGGGTCACGCAACCAATGTGGGTAACATGTTAAAGTATTTGGAATCAAATTTTGAAGGTTACCGCTGTCCTGGGTTGCCACTTATTTATAAACTGCACTCCCTAGAAAACTCAAGTTATCTGTCTCTGTTTTTCACGCCACGGTAAGAAATCATGTCTCTCGTCGAGGAAAACTGGCAAACAACAAGACCAACCATCAGAGAGAGAATCAAGTTTGTTTTCAACAACGATCGCTTCAGCGATATCAAATTCGTTGTTCGGAAGATGGATGGCGAAAGCGAAAGAAAACGAGTAATTCCCGCTCACAAGTTCGTGCTGTCTATCAGCAGTCCTGTGTTCGAAGCCATGTTTTACGGTGAGTTGGCGGAGACTAAAGACTCTATTGAACTGCCTGACTGTGAGTACGAGAGTCTGTTGGAGTTGTTTCGTTACGTGTACAGCGATGAAGTCAAATTGAGCGGAAGAAATGTGATGGGAGTGTTTTATTTGGCAAAGAAATACATGGTGCCTTCACTCGCTGAACAGTGCTCGGAATATCTACAGAAGAACTTGGATCCATCTAATGTTTTCATCATTCTTCCTTCTGCTCAGAAATATGAAGAGAAGGACCTAGTGGAACGATGCTGGAAAGTAATCGATGACCAGACGGAACAAGTAGCAAAATCGGATGGGTTTGCGACAATTGAGAGGTCCTTACTTGAAGGAATAGTCGTAAGAGACTCTCTGACGATTGAAGAGATAGATCTGTTTAAGGCTGTTGACTTATGGGCCACTAAACAATGCGAAAGGCAAGGTCTAAAAGCTGACAGTGCCACAAAAAGAAAAATTCTTGGAGAACAAACAATCAAAGCGCTACGCTTCCCAATAATGAAACTGGAAGATTTCTCAAGCGTTGTTTTAGCCGGTGATTTTCTGACAAAAGAAGAAATCGTCAGTCTCATCAGACACCTAACTTCTGTCTCCAAGTCTCCAACGGGATTTCCCGAAACAGGAAGATCTGGTTCATCAAGTAAAATTCAAGTCTGTGGTCGATTCAACACACCACCTGGTAAAACATGGAGTTATAGTGGCAACCCAGATGTCATCGATTTCTCTACAGACAGAGACATTGGCTTATGTGGAGTACGCTTCTTTGGTCAAAAGGACAGTACTTACGCTGCAGACTTCAAGCTGACGATAGTCGGCTCTAGGGAAGTGGTACAGTCTGTCGATCCTCAATCATTTAACACAGAACAATTGCAGGCCGAGAAATATAGTTACAGCGGTTTTGAAATGACTTTCAGCCACAATATTACTTTAAAGAAAAACACCTGGTACCGTTTAAGTGCTTTAATGAGAGGTCCTATTTCACTGCGTGGACTCGACGGTGTCAGTTCTGTTCAGTGTTCCGGGGTAACTTTCACATTCACGAACAGTGACATCAGAAATAATAATGGAAGTCAGGTTAATTACGGGCAGTTTCCCGAACTGATCTTTAGTCTTAAATAATCAGTGAATAGTAATACAGCTTGGCTGTTCAGCATCTGATGGGTATTCTGAACGCTAGAGGCACAAACCCCCATTAGAAACTCAGAATTTCTTCGTTTTCTCCATGTTTAAAACAAAAATCATCTGTATCACTTTATTCCTATCATTCAGCGTTTCCATCTTTTCAAAGTATTACGAAACTGCCGAACACGTAACTTTTTAGGTATTGCTGATTTTCACGTGACATCTTCAAATTCGAAAATACAAAAATAAATAGCTAAGAACATCTTTATCCTAATCAGGCAATCAGGCAAAAGGGGGTCTAAATTCAAATCTGTTTTCAAATTTTCAGCTTCATGGCGTGCTTGGTTTTGAAACCAAGTTTGAAGTTCAGAGTTATGGTGATTGCGTGACATACATCTCAGCCGGCTCCGATCGCGTTTGTCGAAAAACATAGGCTTATCTGGTGATTTTAAGCCTTTTTAGGAAAGTAAGCGTTAGAAAAAGTGTTTTTGTACAATTTTGTTTATTTCTTTTACAGAATCGGTGGGCTAGGCTAGATACCCAAAGTAAGCTCCAGATGTTTTATACTATTTTCCGGCTACAAAGATTACTCACAAGCATGGCGGATCCATACTGGACTCGGCTCTGTAAATTTGCGCAAAAACATTTCGACAAATATCTTAAGTTTGGGAAAACAAGAAGACTTAAAACTTGGAGAAGTGCTTCCTCAACCTAATTATCCACTGAATATCTTTGTCTCGATGTGTGACAGTGAAAACGATTAATGTGCTATCTCCAATTTGCCGGTGAGTTTGATTTTCAAATGCTGTGCTGTATAACCCTTACGGGAAATCAGTCCTTTTTCAAAGGTGCTCTTAAACACAGTCACATTCACCATTTGATCAATCCCCCAAACTGCAACGCCTGATATCGGGTCGTGGTTCTTGCTACGGAGTCGCTTACGTTACTTGTTCAGTGCGCAGGTGTAAAAATTCTCATAAGGTAGCGAATTATGGGAACAATGTCTCAAATTACATATGCTTTTACGTCGCCTCAAATTTTTTACTATAAACACTAAATAGTGTTACTCATCTTTTAAAATAAAAAAAATTCCAAGCCCGTCCATGTCATTTTGGAACAGCGTTCAAGAAGCTGCTTCAAAAATTACTTAATTCTGAGCGAAGATGTTCTGAAATGAAGGCATTTGTTTCCCAAATACCTCATGACTACCCATGACCTACACCCGAATTCCATCACTCTCCAAGCTGGCCTTGGAAATTATGTTGTGGTGTTCCAAGGCTAGGATTCAAACTTAAAGCTAAGCGCGTCAGTGAACGTTGAGGCAAAGGAAACTCTTTGCATGATACAAAAATGTTTAAAAAGCAACAGCTTAGAGAGTTAAATCGCCAAACTGTGCCCTAACTCTACATTTTTGTTAAATTAACCAAAAGTGCATACAGCTTAAATTGTCCGGATATAACATGCAATAATTGACATGTCTGTGTCTTGTTTTACTGGTTAGTTTTACTTGATATTCATTTGCGAATGATGTCAAGTCACATGAATTAAATCATGAATGAAAAACGCCAATCAAGTGTTCATCTTCCTCGTGAGCGGTTCTCCAAATGTGAGCGATATGGGTTTTTTTTCAGGTAGGCTAGCTACCTGGCTGAACAAGCGAGAACACTGAGTGAATTGATCAGACGTATAAAGGGGCTAAGTTTCTCGGTGGATTAAGAAACGATAATTTGGTTTTACCAACGAAGTTGAAAATGTGAATCGGCCAGCGTAAAGAGTATCTGAAGCTGACGTTTCAAGTGTTAGCCCTTCGTCAGAGCGAATAGTCAGACGTAGCTTGTTAGGTACAATTTATTTTTCCACTGAAACCGTTTTTCCTCATTTTCCATAAAGAGTTCTCTGATTCATTTTAATGCAAAGACACGAGCCCCGTGTTCGCAAGGCCGATTTTAGGTTGCAAGACAAAGGAATTTTTCATTTCGTCTGCGTTTTCCGTCTCGCTGGCCCCCGCGCTGACGTACAGAGGACTGGGAGTGAAAATTCTATCGAGACTCGGTCACGCTTCAGCCGTGATAAATTAGTTTGTACTCAATAATAAGACCGAGAGATAATTTTTCCTTAATTCACTACAGATCTCAGAACAGATGCCATGTCTGTCGCAGAGGAAAACTGGCAAACAACAAGATCAACCATCAGAGAAAGAACTAAGTTTGTTTTCAACAACGACCGCTTCAGCGATATCAAGTTCGTTGTTCGGAATGGTGAAAGTAAACAAGTGATTCCTGCTCACAAGTTCTTGTTGTCTATCAGCAGTCCTGTGTTTGAAGCAATGTTTTACGGTGAGTTGGTAGAAACTAAAGACTCTATTGAACTGCCTGACTGTGAGTACGAGAGTGTTTTGGAGTTGTTTTGTTACATGTACAGCGATGAAGTGAACTTGAGCGGAAGTAATGTGATGGGGGTGTTGTATTTGGCTAAGAAGTACATGTTGCCCTCACTGGTGGAGAAATGCACGGAATATCTCCAGGAGAACATGGATCCATCCAATGTTTTCAGTATCCTTCCTTCCGCTCAGAAATATGAAGAGAAAGACCTAGTGGAACGATGCTGGAAAGTGATTGACGAAAAGACAGAGGAAGCTGTGAAATCTGAAGGATTCGCGACATTTGAGAGATCCTTACTTGAGTCAATAATCGCAAGAGACACTCTAACGATAGAAGAGATAGATCTGTTTAAAGCTGTCGACCTGTGGGCCACAAAGGAATGTGAGAGGCAAGATTTAAACGCTGATGGTGGAACTAAAAGAAGAATTATTGGAGAAAAAATTGTCAAAGCATTACGTTTCCCAACGATGAAACAGAAAGATTTCGCGGGTGAGGTTTTAGCCAGTGATATCCTCACAAAAGAGGAAATTGTCAGGCTTATCAGACACCAGAATTCCTTATTCAACTCCCCAGTAGGATTTCCCGAGACAAAAAGAGCGTACCAGTCTACTAGTGAAATTCAACGATGCGGTAGATTTACGACCGTGACAACGTCGAGTGGTTGGGGTTATACAAGCAGATGTATAGATGCCATAGATTTCTGTGTGGACAAGAGCGTTGTGTTACATGGAGTGCGTTTCTTTGGCAGTAAGGACTGTGCTTACCCGGTTGACCTGATGGTTTCGAATCAACACACTGGTTCAGTTTTGGTTTCTTTAAAAACTGAAGAACTTTTGTCGAAACAATTGCAAGGCAATAGATTTTATTATTACGGCATTGAAGTGTCCTTTGACGAAAAAGTACTAGTAAAGGAAAACACTCGGTATTGTTTAAGTGCTTTGGTGACTGGTCCCTCTTCGCTGTATGGAAAAAACGGTGCGATTACTGATACATGTTCAGGTGTCACATTCACATTTATGGACAGCAGCTCCTCAAAAAATGGAACTTCGATAAAACAAGGACAGTTTCCCGAATTATTATTTTCTTTTGAATGATTGCGAAAATTTTCAAGTAGTAATCGCATAGCTCTCTTAACTTTTGATGAAAATGTGAAATAAACTGACGCAAATTTGAAAATGCCTGTAATGAATAACACGTTTTGAACATCAGTTTGAATGAAATTTATTTTATTACAAGAATTGTAATCAGTTTTGACTGAACGTATTGCCAAGGTAATTAACAATTTCTTCAGAAGACTCTCAATCTAAATTATAACATAACCAAAGTAAATCGTGTGCTCTGATTGGTCAATTCAGCGTCCCCCATTTGCCCATGGGTGTACGCTGCTGACATGAGCAAATGCAAAGACAATTTTTCCGCGGGCGCTTGTATTTTCTGGTCACGTAAGATTTGTTAAGTAAAAGGGAACTCTTTAGCTACAATGTATCAATGTTGTGTTATAAAACAAATGGTAAACACCACAGTGTACACTATTGAGCTATGGATGCACTTGGGAGGNGAGGCTATCGCCTCGAGTGACTCTTACGCTTCTTTCGTGCTTAGCAACCTCCTGCGTGCATCCATAACTCAATTGTGCACGCTGTGGTGTTTACCATTTGTTAAATATGTCCTTGATTACCAAGGGCGATAAGAAACTGGAGTGAACTGAAAACATACATGACTAAACCCGGACTCACTAGCCTCGTCTTCACGTGGAAACACAAAAGGATTATTACACGTATGAGAGGCTAGTGAGTCCAGATCAATGGCAACTCAAATTGGACGCCATATTTGAATTCGTTCTATAATAACTCGAATCTTTTCATTTCCTATTCACATACACTTGTTCGCCTTTTGAAAATTCAGCAAATGACACCTCAAATTTGATTGCTGAAGTTGTCATCCGATTAAGATAACTATACATAGTATTTTTAAGGCTTAGTTAGCTTTACAGGTTGCATATTGAGTTGTCCATAAGCAAAGTTAATTATTTTAATAAGAGATAGGTAATCTTCATTTAGAGGACGTTTTGTCTAAATACTGTAATGCAGTTTGCATTTCAGTATTGGTGGAACAACATTTATTCCTCACTTCTGAACAATCCATAGTGTTCGTGTTGTTAAGACATGTATTTTGTAGCTTTCGGTTCATATTTTAGTGCAAATCAAATTCAAATATACTCAGTTGCGGAATATTCACGTTTTGGGGTGAATCATTGAGCTAGAATGAAATAATCAGAAGACCACTCTTATATATGCTAATCCATCACGAGTAAAGCTTACAGAAAGATAAAGAAATTAACAGAAGAAGACATCACTAGCAACACTTTTCTGCTGTCAAACTAAATTCTCACCAGTACCATTAATTACAATTCATGTCAAGAAGTAATGAAATTCAGTGTCAATTTTAGAAATAAGTTATAATAAAATGCTACAGTACCTGAGCATCCCTCATCAAGCCTGGTATCCCTGTGTCTTCTATATACCCTTGACCACCGAAGCTCTCCACACCTTCCGAGGTAACATGCATGGCCTGTCCATTTAAGAAGGCATAGTAAGAAATTAATGAAAAGGGGGGAAAAGAGCACTACGCAAAGTCCTTGCTACTTCAATTGGGACTTTTTTTTTAACAAAAGAATGAAATAGCTTTCCGTTTAAAGAACTGATCACAAAAAGTCTTATCTGAAGTGTTTTCTTAGATTCCCCTTCTCTCTTTTAAAGCAAGATAAAATCACAAAGTCAATTACTCAAAACGCTCACTCCGAATTGCGAACCAAATTTTCCAGTGTAGATTTCACACATGTGTGCGCTGGAGGCGATGCGTGTGAGTATCAAGTCACCCACGCCGCTATCTCGCAGGTGGCTATCTGTTGAAGATGTATGCCGTACAGAGTTTAAAACCAATCAAAACTCGAATAACTTCAAGTCTGGCACGATTTATTGGTTATAATAAAGTCATTTTTAGATTGGTATGTCGTACCTGTTTAGCTGTGTACAGTTTTGTGATCGGCGTAAGAAGTCTCAACAGCCGTGTCTCTACATCTGATGCCTCGTTACAATCTTGTTTACCAAGCAGATGGGCAATTTCCATTGTGAGTAGGAAGGCCGCACGGGTCTTCAACTGTTTATGGATAAAAAAAAGCCAAGTTATATTAACACATTTCGTTCTAAAGGAGTAAATAAAAGGTAAATATATACGAAGTCTCTGAGTCGTTCATTTCCGCTTTGAGATATATAATTTCCAATCATTTATTTTGGGCCCCTTGCTGTTCCTGACTTTCATCGATGACCTCCCACAAGTGATCTCAAACTCTACTGTGGATGTTTATGCCGATGATACTACCTTTTCCTCTAGTGCTCATTGTACTCTGGGGACAACGGCAGTTGAAGCAAAACTTCAGGAGGACATTGACAGTCTTTGCGCATGGTCTACTCAAAATCGCATGGTCTTAAATGCCGGGAAAACCAAATCTATTCTGGTAACTGGCAAGCGTCTCAAGTCACGTGTAGCTGACCCTAGTTTGAAGTTGCAAGCAAATGGAACAGCTATCGAGCAAGTTATACATCAGAAACTGCTTGGGGTTACAATTGATCAAGAACTAACTTTTAAGGAACATGTAGATAAACTTTGTAAGAAGCTTAGCAAAAAAATTGGCCTACTGAAAAAGTTGTGTACTTATTTACCCATTGAGGAAAGATTACTCTTCTATAATGCCCTTATTAAGCCGGTCATGATGTATGGTAGTATAGTTTGGACCTATTGTTCTAAGGAAGATCTCATGAGAGTGTTTCGGTTGCAGAAACGTGCAGCGCGTGTAATATTAGGTACAGGTATCAGATCAAGAACTGTGGAAAATTTTAAGAANTCCAAGTTCATTAGATGAATCGAACGAAGAAAAACAGCTTGACGACCAGAAAATTTCTTCATTTAATGAAGAAAATAGAAACAGCAACACAACAACGCGCCAATTCCGTTCCGCTTCGCATACTTCTGTCACGCACTCCCCGTAAATAAATATCCGCGAAATTCGCCCGCACTGAAATAACAGTTTGGCGTGTTGGATAATAAATAACTTATTACACGTTTTGTTGTGTAGTATCGCTGAGTATTTTTACGAGTTGTGCCGTATTTTGACGAGCCCGTAGGGCGAGTCAAAATACAAATAACGAGTAAAAATACTCAGCGATACTACACAACAAAACGTCTAATAAGTTATTTATTATCCAACACGCCAAACTGTTATTTCAGTGCGGGCGAATTTCGCGGATATTTATTTACGGGGAGTGCGTGACAGAAGTATGCGAAGCGGAACGGAATTGGCGCGTTGTTGTGTTGCTGTTTCTATTTTCTTCATTAAATGAAGAAATTTTCTGGTCGTCAAGCTGTTTTTCTTCGTTCGATTCATCTAATGAACTTGGATCTATATTTGCCAGCCATTCTGACTCTTCGTCGTCGGAAATATGATTCAAATGGTCCGCCATTTGTTTTTTTTTTGTAACTACAATCCAATTTTTCGCTTGCGCGATGCAAGAAAACCTGTTTAACCGGTACTCTACAATAGACGAGTACAAATACCGCGTGATATTTGTACTCGTCTATGGCGTTATTTGTACTCGTCTAGGTGTAGTTGGATAATAATAGCGGTTATTATCATTGGTGTATAGCCAATACAAATACCTGCCTTAGGTGAAGGAATGATTGAAAAAACCAATTCGCAGTTACCTGAACCAGAAATTACAACACTCCTGAATTTACTTTCGACATTAAATTGACAATTGTTCTGTGATTCTAGAAAGAATTCAACTAGTTAAGTTGCCATCACCTCTATTCTAGCAAGCGTCTGCATATGGAGAGGATGTTCCACCAGTAGTTTACCAAACACTGATCGCCTCAAACAATAATCTTGAGCTAGGGACATAATTCTGCAAAAGGAACAGAAAACATCAATGCGAAAACTACTACAAACGAAACTTTTCGAGGTTAAAAGCTCAATACCGCTGAATCTTTTAAAATCATTGCATCTATAACCAATCAACATTAAACACTCTGAAAATCAGCATGTGTACTCTCCAAAATGTTCTCTGTACATTTCCTATGAAACTGACCAGGAGAATTTGTTTCAAAATCAAGAGCTTCTTTAGCTGGCAATCTTTACTAATGTTTGATTAAGCAGTGATATTGTAAAGGAAAAATTACGTCCTAAATAGTTTTCAGGGTTAAGGGACCTAACATTATTTACAGGGAGGGGGGGTAGGGGGGCTGGTGGAAATGAGAATTAAACTTCTCAAAAACTTTAAGTTCCCCCTTTATTGGGGACACACTTTTTTTCTTTCCTCCTCCTCCCCCCATAATTCTTTAAATTAATTTTTTGGCACTTAAAAAATGATCTAAGATACTATACTAAAACATTTTATGTAAACCAAAATGAAATGTTATGAAGAATACCATCCTACCTTTTTTAAAAGTAATGCACAAGGAGATGAAAGTGACAGAGTGTTAATAAGCAGTTAATAAGCAGTGAATCTGAGGATGAAACACTTTTAAGGACTTTCAATTGTCAACCGTTTGTTTAGATTGAGATTGAGTCTTTTGTTTATCAGAGTCTCCAATTAAAACATAAAAAGGGGGGACCAAATAAAATTCTGCAATATCAATACCAGCAAAATTTACTTTTTATGTACACACAAATTTTTGGTCCCCCCTCATTTCCACCAGCCCCCCCCTCCCTGTAAATAATGTTAGGTCCCTAAGCTAACTGAATGATTACAATTATGGCTAGACTAAAAGCCAATTGAATTTATCAAATTCACTAGGATGAATGTTTTAACCCCCATTTAGCACCTCCAAACTATGCACCTCACAACCCCCCCCTCCCCTCCCTTCCCCAAACCCATCTTGGAAATTTTTCTGGTTTCTCCAGAAAGTTTTAACAAGCCATTAAATGTGTGGACAAAGAGAGAAGCCATTAGAGTAGAGAGTCTTGACCAAAACCTAACACAGTGATACCAGATATGACAATGAATCAGTGCTCTGCATGTCAAATGAAAGATGAAAGTGCTAGCACTAACAATGTCTGTCAGACATATTAGCTACACACAGCTAATTTACCACTCTCACCTCCTCATAACACCTGCAGCAGAAATGCTGTTGTGAAAGCGGGTTATTGTTAACATGTCAGATATACAAGGCACTCCACGACCCTCATCAGACATCTGAAAATTTTTTACAAAATGTATTTAGTTTTGTGTGAGAGAATGTTATTGTGCAAAGTTTGAGTAGCAAACATCAGAACAACATATTAAAATGCTAAAAAAGGATCGAGTTTTTTTTTTTAGGGGTTTAAGGAACAACTCCACCAAACCTTGTTCTACTGAAGGTTCATGGAATGTTCAGAATAAGCTAAACACATTAATTTAATTTGTAACTCACAGTGAAAGGCACCTTTCCTATTAAGATCAACAGGGAGATAACAGGATAAAGAATAAGGTAACAGCCCTAGCCTAGAACTAAGAACCTTCTATGTTTTGTGTAAGGCACTAATTAACCCTTAACCACCTAACATCAGTATGTATTTTCTCTATTACTGTTCACAATAGATTTCTTTAGATGTTGACAAGGAGAATGTGTTTAACAACCAAATGCTGGGTGGTCAGTTCTTTTTGCTCCTGGGACCTTAATGCATGATTTTATAGGAAAATTCATTACTCCGGACTAGAGAATTCCACATTAAATTGTATGTGAAAACCGATATTGCACGAATCGCAAAGTGATGAGTGCGATATTGGTTTTCAAGTGCAATTTAATGTGGAATTCATGAGTGAAGTAATGGATTTTCCTTGAATCGCATAACTGAATAAAAATGAGAAAAAAACGGAAACAGCATTACTTAAAAATGTTATGTTTATGTAGAGGCAAAACAATATCACTTTTTTTTCCTAACCATTTTCACTGCATTACCACAGTAGGGTAGGACTAGAATGGAACATATGCGAACCATGCGAGTAGTCCACCCAATATTTCCCATCCATCCCACCCCAGGGGAGGACAACGTCTCCTACCTCTAACCCTGTAGGAGAAGGGACCTCCATTTATTCGTCCCTATCCCAGAAGACTAGAATATCTAAACATTTCTTTATGTTATAGAAAGGTAGCATATTCTTCTCAATTATTTTAAGACCTTGAGTGTTGGTCTGGCCAGGGCTTCAACCCTCGACCTCCCGCACAACAGTCCAGCGCTCTATCCATTGAGCTAACCGGGAGGCGGTTAGCCTCTTAGCCTTGTTTTCAACTCGCAATTCCACACTAAATACCTCGCCTCGTTAACCAATCAGAATATGAGATTTTATTCAAGGATGCGATTCAAGGGTGATATTGTGAGAGAAAATAGCTGCACATCACTCTAAGGGATTAAACGGTTAAGGTTATAAAGTGTGGTATGATAATGAACAGGGAATTACTGTGACCAAGGTAAGGAAATATATGAATATATAAACCTTGTACGCTAGTGATCCATGAAGAAGGAGCTCAGCTGTGGGAAGCTGCTTGGTACCCAATTTATTTTTCAACCTCTGCAAAAATATGCAATTAAATATCAAATCAAATCAGCTTTGCAAGTATATACCATTTAACTCAGCACAGTCAACAAACAGAACACTTTTGTGCATTGTTTCCATTTGAAGCAGACAAATAGGATGGGATGACATCATGAAAGATGCTCAAAGGACATAAAGGAAGTTCAGTTTTCTTAGTCTGAGGCCTTTTAGCTTTGTTATGAGTATGAATTAATAAATAGAAAGAGACTTTGGAGAGCAAAAATCCCTTGAATTGTCCCCTCACCCCTCTAAGGTACACCTTCATAAAAAACCCAACCACACCCTCAAGCCCCACACAAGTCTGCTTCTGAGCAAATTCAGCCACTTTCCAACAGACTCATACAAATAAATCTGGATCAGCAAGTGCTTGTAACATCTTATCTTGAGAATTACCACATTTACATGTTACCTGAACTTCGATATGGTTCAATTTGCCATCTTGATTGCGAGTCTGCATGTAAAACATTGAAATACCTTTGGTGCCCTGGAACAAAATAATAATCTTAATAATCACAATATTGTAATGAAAAATCATTTCAGTCATTACATATGAAGAAATTGTTAACTTAAATCTCAAAACAAAAAAAGGAAACTTTCAAATCTTAACACAGAAAAATAAAAAATTAAAAAAATAATAAATTTAAAATAAAAATATTAAAATAAAAGCAAATTGTTCCTAAACAATATCTGTTGTTTAAAACTGGAACCAACAGTTATGCACTCACTAATTTAACATTTATTTAACAAAATAAAGAAAACATGTATATTGCGGCTTTCCCTTTACTGCTTCCAAATCAAATAGAGACAACCAGACAACCAGGAGAAATTGGCTAAGATAAAACATCAAACTGAGCCCATGTCTATTGGTATCAATATCAGTATCTTGAGCAACTGTGCACCTAACACCCCTCCCCTAACCCAAAAACAGTAAACTAATATCATCTTAGGGTTATTGTTTGGTTAGGGGAAGGGTAGATTTGTAGTTTCTCAGATACTGACAGTGATCTTCCAGATTGTGTTTACTGACAGGTACTCTGGATATACTGTTCGATATATATTGGTCAAGAGTCTGTAGATACTCAACTGATATGTTGGTCAGCACTTGGTCAACACTCGGCTAATAGTCGGCCCACACCTGGTTGATAGTCAGTCCGCACTATCAACGGAGTGTCAACCAATTGTTGACTGAGTGTTGAATGACTGTTGACCAAATGTTGACTGAGTGTTGAACGAGTGTCAACTGACATATTAGTGAGTGAGTCAAGTACAAACTGACTCTTGACCCATCGATCAAGAGTACCTAAAGTACATATGATCCAATCTTCAGTTGCTATGTTAATGTGACCACTTACAGGTACAATAGATCCATCAGGATTTTGTACTCTTGCTAAAGTGAGTGTCATGTTGGCATCAGTAGCTGAACTGAACCACTTATACCCATACAGTCTGTAGGTGCCATCTTCTTGGGGAACAGCTAGTGTCTCTGTACCATTTGCTACAACAGAAAAAACACATTCTTCACCACCAACATAGTAGCATAGATGATGATCTAAAAATCAACCAACAGGGGGAGAATGGTGATTAAAATCCAGACCCCCCCCCCACAAATACTTCCGATGCTTCTCACCTTTGCATTATTAATTAATCAAAATCACAATCTCAGTTTACATATTAACTGTTTAAAAGTATGAGTCCAAGAGTTTTAAGCAAGTGATTAAGACTCACCAACATCTGAGCCCCCTTTCCTTTCTGTCATCCACTGACCAGATGTCCAGAATTTCTTTGGATCTCTGCTGGTCAAACGACTGTAAGCATCTTTAAGGACACTAGGCTTCTCTGTCATAGTTGACACCTGAATGTTAAAATGTAAGGGAGAATTACAACAATGTTATGATAGCATTACAATAATATTGTAATGCTAATATTTATCTCCAACAATAGAAAGGAATAACAATAGAACAGAGAGGAAAACTGTATCCATTGTAGGAATGCTTACCACTAATACAAATGTCAAAAACTGCACCATTGTGCAGGGAGGACCATGAGCAAGAAGTGTAATTCAGAACAAGTACACTTGACCCTGTTCATTGATGACATGAATAAAGAGAGAGAGGGAAGGAGGGCAACAAAAATTAATGGCATCTTCAGTTAAAGCAATGGCTACACATGAGGAGCTTTCTACAACCACATCCACCAGAGTGTACAACAGCCAGTTAATCACTGATTGGCAAACAGTAATGCAAAATGACTGACAAGTATCACAGCTCACATAGTTAATCTGCAACCGTGCCTGATTTCACTATTGAAAGAGACTAAACTTTCTATACTACTACGGGCTAACATTACACAAACTGATAGACTCACTGTGGCTTTCCCTTTGAACATAATGTTTTCATTGATAAGATTCAAGTGTGTCAGGCATGTGCAGGCTACAATAAGCACTATTTAAAGACAAAAATCTACCCTTTTGTTGAAGCAGACATCAAATTACTCCCCTTTCCACCCAATGATGACTACCTTACTTTTCCTTAATCAGGCCACTTTGCTCTATTCCAACACCAGCTGCATTTTGTTGAGGATTTCAACCTCTATCCAACATAACATTTTTGCAAGAAAGTTACACAGAACTGACACCCAATTTCACCTAAAATTCAACATCCTATACTTCCCTTAAATCTTAATGAAAGCCCTAATATTTGGTTCTTTCACTTAAAAGCACCTGCATAAGAATTTCTCTTGCAAGATTAATGTACACCATGATCATATTTTTAGATCTAAGCACTGTACCTTGATACTCTTAGCTGCTCCATCTGTCATGGCTAATGGACAAGAATACAAACCAGATGAAGGGGAAAACAAAAAAAGTTTTGCAGCTTGGTAGATACGGCTAGGAGTAAATAAATAAAAAAAGATAATGCTGAAGTTTGAATGCAGAGGCCTTGAGCTACATGCAAAATTAAAAAAAGAGTATATCAGTTCCATGAACTTGGGTAATCAACTGATTTTGAGTGCTTTTACCTCCACTGTCCATACTTTCTTTCATAAGGAATAGATATCAATCCTTCTTCAGCTGACACATCATGTAACTGTCTCCACCCCTGGCAGGTCTGAATATTGTCCACCCTTTGTCCCCAAGCATCAAAGTGTTCAAGTTTTGGTGGCTGCAGCTCACATTCTCTTCCCATAGAGTTTATATCAGTGGCCACTCTGTGGCCAAAGTGTTGTAAGTCTGGTAAGATTTCTTGTAAAACCTGTGTTAAAAAAAGTCAGGTTTTAATGATAAACTTTATGAACAAAATTACTAACAACTTTGTTAAGTCTACAGAGTCTTCTTTGTCATCTGTTCAATGGAAAAAGTTCAAAAGATTAATCATTCCCAGCCATCACGATAAGATGTCCACCTCCATTGA